ACACTAGGTTAACCCTTTTGCGATATCAAAGGCAATTATTCACTTCATGATATGGACTATGCTGACAAAATCATCATATCTTTGTCATATGATCTAATCCAGTCGGTTATATATATATATATATATATATATATATATATATATATATATATATATATATATTGGCAAAAATACATTCTCAAAAATTCACATTTTACGCCAACGTATGCCAAATCCATATATAAACCCATTACCGAGTTCTAAATGTCTACCTTTTTGTTACTCTGGTAATAGAGATAGTGAAGAAGGGGACTGGAAAAAATGACAAATTAAGAACTCAAAAACGTGGTAATGGATCGAATCATTTTTGAACGGTTTTGGAAATTGCATACCTGGCGATAAAAGGAAAGGTTTATAAAGGTTTATAGAGACCCGATGCGCTTTTGTACAACTATAAGAAGAAGTCCAGAATGAGGGAAAATGTGTGTTATGGCACAGCACATCATAAGGGCCAGTCAGAATGTGTCATATANATATATATATATATATATTATTTATCACGGGGACAGATGGCACCATATGAACATATGGGTATCTTATACCTGATCAACGTAAACTTAACTGTGGCTACCGTATCTCAAACAATGGCTTCATTGTATATATTATTACAATTAATAGTTATTTTTATGGGTAGGTCTTGCTTCAAAAGAATAGTTCTGGACAAGAAAAGCTGGTAACATTAAATTACAGCAATTAAATAGGAACTTACTGCCCTGCTATGTTGAAACTCCTCTTGAAAGCCAGCAAAATTATTTTAGACTACAAAGGAAATCAGAACTGTAAAATCCCTATTGAAATCGCTGACGTGATTAGGACAGATCTTTAAATATATCTATCTCGAGAGGGGAAGCAAATTAAGCAGTGTCTATCAGTTTTCATTCAGCTCACGACGTCGACTTTTTAATTAATAAAGGCAACTTTATAGACTTTTAGTATTTAATGGTTGAAACCTGTTTTATATAGCTTTTATCCTTCAGCTGCATATTATTTTAATGCGAAGTCTCAAACTCGTCTAATTCTTACTACTTTTGAAAGCTTTTTTTACAGAACGACGTTTTATTCCCGGTGTTGTATTTTTAGTATATTTATTATAAAAATATATCTTTATCTCATCTTATCTTATCGCCAATTTTTTTATTAATCAATGTTGTTTGCCGATAACGCGAGTGAGTAGGTGTATTCTCTTCCTGTTTCCAGTTTCCTTCAGTCAATCGGTTGTAGTATTTAGTCTTATCAGTAGATATACAAGTACTTGGAGTGATATATGGGCAAGGGCCCTGGTTCTCTATACAACTTTTGTCCAAAAGTAAATGTCATTTTTAGATCACAATTTTGGTCGAGTTTGACTCTAAATAAATCTGTGGTAGTAAAGTATAGTAAAGTACATATTGTTATAACACATTTGGCATTTCTTTCCTGTTATAATACAGGTGCGAATTATTGGACATGCACTGTGCTATTATTCATATGTAGCTTGGGTCGTTATAGACTTGAGTTTTGGTCTAAACATTTAGTCCAACTTTCCGTTTACGCAACTTGCAACTTTTTCCCTTGACAAATAGTTGTATGCAGGATCTTTTACACAATTGATCTATCCCTCTTCCAGCAATTTGTCATAACAACGGCATACCGCCTTTTCCAAATTGACCGCCGGAGCAGTGCGTGGTGGTTGGGATTAAATGGCAGGGAAGATGACAACGAGTGGACATGGGTCACTGGTGAGGCCCTGGACACAGAGTTGGCGTAGGTTCAATGAAGAGTTTCGAATTGCATGGTCTGCATAGTTTTTGAACGGAAAACCTAGGCTCACTTTGGACAAGCATAAATTTTCAGTACTCCATTGAGTTAGAGTAAATTTTGCTGTTAAATATTAGACGTGTTCAATTTATGTTTATTATTTATTAACATAAGGTTGCAGTTGCCCCCCCCCTACACACACACACACGCACACACACACACACACACACACACACACACACAGATGACTGTCCTAACAGCAAGTGCACCGTATAACGTGATATCAGATATACAGACATACAATATCTATCATGTTTCTCATTTTTATCCGCATCAACATGCAGTAATTGGAATGTCCAAGAAAGAAGCACTGGAGGCGGAAAAAGGCATAAGACTTGTGGAGTTTTACGGCTGCAAGACGACACTACGAACGTAGGAGGGGATTCACTCGGCGGCTCTGATTGCTACACAGCTAATCCGTACATCTGCAAGAGGGCGAAAGGTTAAGATATGATTAACAGTTCTCAGACAGCTAAAACCCTGCTTCTAATTATTATTTATTTCTTTGTTACATCCAATATCTCGGATCATGTAAATCCTTAATTATAAATAACACGGCTAAGACGTGTCTAATGGTCTGTGCCCCAGGTATTATGGACATATTTCCTTTCATTCCACACGAACGTCAATTTTGTTTCGAGGACATATTGCCATAATTGACCAGTTCGTGAACCTGCTGATCTTGGAGTAACGTTTTGTATTTCAGCCGCGGTGGACAATTGTGCGGTCGGTTGGCAGCAGATAGAGGACTCTTGTTTTAAGTTTTTTGACTTACAAAAAGAATGGAAAGCAGCTTCGTATGTACCATTTTTAACAAAATTCATAGTGTTTTTGTAAGGAAGTTGACTGCTTTATTACTTAGCTCCGCTGTGTTTATTTGGTATAGTACATGCTACCCTCTGTCTCTCTCCAAAATCTTAACTAGGCTCAGTAGATTGCTTAATTTTTCATTTGAAAAACAAAGCCTGTAGATATAGAAAATGCACAAACAGATATTTCACATAGCCTACTTTAAAATTTTTCACATTCTTTGTGTTGTGTCTTTGACCCTTACATTCGCGAAAATCTGGACTAATAATCGCATTAAATTAATGTCATGAAAAGCTATCAGTACCCTATTAGACTAGGCTTCGTCCTAACTATAGCTCTTGTAATGTAACTATAGCTTTTGTAATGTAACAGTAACAAGTTTCCTGACTTGCAGTCTGTAGGCTGGAAACAACGCTTGGTCTTACATGTATCCTCGGCGCTCATCGACTTCTATCGTTGTTTTGTTGTTGGAAGAGTAGACCAACTTTTACTCAGACAATATATATATAAGGGATATTTTCTGACCAAGTGTTGTTCCTGATGACGTAGGTTTACAAAAAGTATGCATTAAACTATACACAAATGTCTGACTTTTAGTTCCTATACATACACATTCATACATAATAACTAGTGTAGAACAGTGGGGAATGTAACTCAATTTTCAAATTAACAATTTCAGTGCTGATTGCAATCGTCATGGAGCACAGCTAGCGACAGTGGAAAATGATGTACAGCAGCAATATATTTACGATATTGCACATTTCCAAGACAAACCAGTCTGGATAGGATATTCCTCTTGGTCCAATGAGGTATGATTAGCTCTATAGGGGTATGTCTGTTTGGTTGATAGTGACCTTTGATTTCTGTTTGACCATGCAAATTAACGGATTCTGCATGATACGATTACGTTGTTAGAGTAACTTTTAAATTAAATTACTTATCACCGTTCATGTAGGCCTACTAAATAAGCTATGTTATTAATTTTAACGTCTTATTAGTCTGGATCTGGTTGGAAAAAGAATGAGGAAGTTTTACCGCCATTTCAAGAAGGTGACAAAACGAATCCAGAATTCTGGGCAGAAGATAAACGTCCTCAGGCTCTTCCGTAAGTTATTTTTTACTTCAACACAAAGAGGTTTGGTGACCGAATTGTCCCCCTGGCCCGATGTGTCATCCACCTCCCCCCTTCCCCCTCCAGTGTCTCAATGGTCTGTTGCGGCAATGTTTTGACATAAATTCTCGCTTAATATGCTTTTTATGCATCTTCAAGTTTTCCTAACATAGATAATCGTCTTTTCATTTGGTTTAAAAGGAACCAGGATAACAACACCTGTGTGGAAGTAGTCCCTTCACTACTGGAGTCCAGAAGGTCTTGGGTGCCTATCGAATGCAGCAGAGAAAGATCATACATGTGTAAAACGACTAAAGGTAAGAGCAGCGTTCAGTGCTGTTCACACAGCGTTGATAAATGGTTCCCTTTAAAGCAGCATCATGACAAAACAATGCTTTCTCTCTATATAGAGATGCATAGGCAGCCAATACACCTAGACCTCCCGATGGGCACTGCGAAGTCACTTAGTGTCACCGCCGCGAGAAGTACACGGCGCCATCCTTTTGTTTATATATAAATATATTTTAAGTTTCTTTATCTTATTTTTAATTATTATCATTATGCTTACTTGATTATTTCTTGTATGATTTCCTGCTGTATAATTTATTAGGACACTGCGCCACGGGTTGGGTACTTTATAACGGCACTTGCTACCAACTAAACAACAACATCAAGCTTTCCTGGTTTGATGCAGACGTGTACTGCAAGTCACAAGGGGCAGAACTCGTGACTATTCAGAGGTAAATCACTGTCTTTTGTACATTTTTGGTGCCACGAGGACACAATCTCTCCAATTTTTACTCGCAGGCATGACCTGCCTAGCTCTGTGATAAAATATTATTTGTATTTTGGTAACTCAACAAAATTCTTTTATGCGTAACATTTTGATCAAACCATACTTCAGTTCTTTTTTCAGTAATTTCGGATTATTATTTTGATTTCGTGATAAAATGTTTTTAATAAAATCGCCCCCAAAACAAATTTGTATTTAGAATTAATAATAGCGGCCAAATGTCAATTATAAATATTGTTTTAATCATTTGATTTCTGTAATTGATTATGATACTACAGGCCCGTAGCCAGCAATTTCAAAAGGGGGGTTCGTTTTCTGAAAAAGTGGACCTTTTTCCGTAAAAACATCATGTACCTACATCAAATTTTACCCAGAGCGGACCTTTTCCCAGCAAAAGGGGCGGTTCTTTCGAACCCCCCGAACCCCCCTGGCTACGGGCCTGTACTACACATGGATAAGAAGATAAAAACTCTGAATTACCCCAACAATCGTAAGAAGTCGTAAACGCGTCCGTGATTGCAACCGACTACGATATTATTTAACGAAAATTCATAGTATAGGAAAAGGTGTCTTAAATAATGCTTATTTCCCACCTTCGTTTGCAGCCAGACGGTACAGGGTTTCGTCTCCAATCTGGTGCAGAACTCTGGAGTAAACAATGCCGTACGGATATGGCTTGGGGCCTCAGGTAAAGCTTACATCAAACGATCAAATTGCCATAGATTTACTTTTTGACTTTTAATAATGAAATATTTCTTCGGACCGTGTTCGAAATATTCCCTGATATTTCAGATGTCGATCAGAACCCCAAGGTACTCCGGTGGCCAAACAAAGTAGAGGTTGCTGATTCCTTCACTAACTGGGAGAAATCAGCGCTTCTTCAGAGTCGCCAATCCCTTTGCGTTGACATGGTGGCAGGTACATGTATGTTTTATAAGGTTACTCTTTGATTTGTACCATACGTTATTACAGATCATATTTACCGACAGCAATTAAGTAAACAAAGCTGACGCCCTAAGTAGTATTTGGAAATAAAATATCATATATTTCTCATTTTGAATAAACATTATTTATATATATTTGGTTCTAGTTTTAATAATACTTTTTTCTCAATCGATATTTTGTAGGATATTAATTATTCTATACGATGATTTTTATAATTACTTGTATATGCATGGTTCTCTTTCTCTTTTCAGATGACGGAAAATGGGGAATATCCGATAAATGTTTAAACCAGCAAAACTTCATCTGTCAGATCTCAGACAGAAAAGTTGTTAATCCACCCACTGTGTTACCAGGTAACTATAAGAACAGAAGTTATCACAATTTATTCTACTCTCTTGGATTTGTACATTTCACGCATTTCTCGAAAACACGTGTAATTAGAATACCGAGAAATGTTTCCAATTAACTTAAGCGTTTCTGGTCTAAGTGATCAGTATTTATGTAAAGTGTCTCACTTCTCTACTTTGATTTGACTGTTTAGTTACATTAAAGGTATATATAGGTTATTTAAAACTACACGTGCTTTTTATCACATTGGATCTCTTGTGGTGATATTATGAAAGTGATCAAACTGTTTTGCTGGTTGACATTTTCATAAAGCCTCCTACAAAGGCTGATCAATATGTTTTACGAAACAATCTTCAAATCCTCGGTAATTTTTTCAAGCTGCCGTTCTTTTCTTTAAAGCAAATGGCTCATGTGACCCTGCCTGGGAGGCCTACTCGTTTTCATGCTACTTCTTCTCTCAAGATGACTCTAAGAGCTGGCTAGAAGCACAAAGGGCGTGTGAAGATGAAAGAGCTTATTTAGTCAAAGTGGATGATGTCAGAGAGATGTCCTTTATTAGCGGTAACTCAGGTTTAATTCACTAAGAGACACAATTCAGTATTAATACATTCCTTTAAATAGATTTGTATAATTCTACCGAAAATAAGGAACATGGGCTGTATAACAAAAGTGAAGTAAGGATAAACTTTGACCAGTGTTTGCCTTACGTTTGGAAATTAACAGGTTTAAGAATGAAATAGGTCAATTTAACTCTATCAGCATGTTAGTGAGACCGATTTGAATTCTGGTGTTGCTTTCATATTAATGGAAGTTGGAGAAGAGATAAGCTAAGTACTTTATGTTGAACACGTTAATGCTAAATTAACTAAAATATAGCAAGATTCATCAGCTTACCTAATTATGTTCAATTTTCATTTTTGCATGTATGATCAGGCAAGCTAGTGTCTAGCTCGTGGATTGGAATCAATGACAGAGAGACTGAGGGACAGTGGGTGTGGCACGATAATACAGTAGTGAGTGACCCATTTTTATTGCTAATTTAACGAGTATGTTTCCATATTTAACTAACCGAATCCTTTCTTGTCTTCACTGATGACGAATGCTAGATGTTTTAAATTCCTGTTGTGTTTGAACAGAATCTTTCTCGTGTTCTGATAAAATACGTTATTTGATAATCATGTTAGTTTTTTTATAATGACATGTCTATTTTGGTACTCCAATGGTTCTCCATATTTAGGCGCCTATAGATGTAAAAAAAACGGCCCAGTAAACTTCTGTGAGATGCCATATTTTTCTAAATGAGATTTTCTCCATGTGGCTAGTATGTTTCCATTGCTAGGCGACCTATAACAACTGGGCCCCTGACAAACCAGACAATGTTGACTCGGGCTCTGAAGCTCACTGTGGAACTGTTCTGTTTGGAAATGCCAAAGGACTGTGGGACGATGTACGGTGTAATGAACATCGAGCGTACATTTGTGAAAAAACGATAGGTGAGATTGCCAGCGGTAAACACACATGTATATAGCTGTATAGATCGATATAAGTACTATATTATTGGTTTCTTGCTTTTTTAATATGGAACAGGTTACTTCTTATAGGTATGCGTGTCAACGACTAATAGCTTACTCTATACTGCTGTAAACTTATAATGAAAATGCCTTCATAAACCTTTGCTTTACGCTTTCCCTCATTTCACCCGGCAAACACATTGCATAGTTAAGTTTAGAGGGCGTGTTTCTCTTGCTTTATTAGACCTGTCAGAGAGGAGTGGTGTTTATTCTACATTTTCTCATTGATTTCATAAATTTGTTCTAATTATTGCGTTTTCCTCAATTTCATACTTAAATTCTTTATTTTCAATGATATTGCTGCCATTAAGCAAGCTCCAGGCTAATTGGCTACTGGACATATCTTAAAAGACTTGTTTTGTTCTGAATGGTCGTGATAAGACATGTAATTGCCTTTGAGTTAGAACGTAAGTACATCAATTAATAAGCACTAGTTCGGTTCTCAGGCAATTGTGACGTATCTTGCAACAAGGCTGGAAGCATATTAATCAATAATCGCCTTTAACGCATGTTTTAAGTGTGTGTATTAATTAGAGGGTTAAATGAACTTACCGTAGGTGAGTGATATTTGACCTGGATTCCACATCATCGTCGGTGACAGAATAGGGTTCACATGAGAGATGCGCGCGCAGCTCAGCGTCATATTTCAAAGTAGTTGTAGTGTGGACCACAGAGTGACAGAAAGGTTCACGGGAAGGGAACTATCCCAGGGTGGGATGTGAACCCTATTCTGTCACCGACGATGATGTGGANTGGAATACACTGTCACTCGAGCGATTTATGCTGACGCTCGAGGTGTTCATGGCATATATCGCAAAAGGGTGACAGTGTATTATTTGACATACATACCGAGAAAAAAAACACCCCTTAAACCAAATAAAGTGACCCTATATTACGCTCTACAGATGCTGGAATAAACTCGTCCACGTACGCTGGTCACTTCGAGCTCCCGCCAAATTATAACGTAATGTCTGACCAATTTGGTCAATTTTTGCTAAATACTTGTTGTGGAAGTTCAACTCGCTTGAACAGTATTCAATCAATCGTCGACACTGACCCTGCGCATCTCAGCTGAGCCACACCTAGCTGGGACTGCTGCGGAACGAAGGTCCCAAGGCAAATCCTCTATTTTTTGTGATATTTCTGATAAACAATGAGCGTCAGCCTGGAATATAGTAAAATTAATTTTTCACAGGTACGAAAAAGAGATAAATTTACTTTGTTGTGATATTTTTGACAGCGAGGCGGTTCTCGAATATAGTCAAAGTCAGACGGATGTTTATTACAAGTCCACGGGAGTAATAACAATTCCACGTTTTAGTGATATTTTTAACTACGAATTTCGGAACATACATATGCTCGTTTTCAGAGCAGTCAGTAAGTATAAGTATACAAGCTTTGAAATACTGTCAGTTGGGTTTTACGATGGGGTATAATTGGTACCTCATGTGTTTCTGCAGACTTGTAATAAATAAATCATCATGTACTTGATTTATTTCAGGTCCTGTTGTTCCTTTTATATCTACAAGTAAAGGGCGTGAGTATCATTTCATTTTGACATGGATATTTTCGGGGTTTGTAGACGTTTCAGTTATGTGTCTGATGTCTTCAAATACATTTGCTGTCTTTGTACCATATCCCGGAATTGACTTTCAATTCCTAAAGTACTGTACACACAATCTTTCATGATAACTATATATTTTTAATTTGACAATGAACTGAGAAAATAGTTTAATTTTAATTCCATTTGAAGTTAGATTAAATAAGCATTACAAATGAAAAGTTCATGCGGAAGAGCACGAGTAGAATCATTACCAAAAGATGATGCAGAACATTGCATTGAAACAAACTAATCTGAGACTGCCTCCTTACAATTTAAAGAACACACTATCACAATTATGAAATAATGGTCCATAATTTTTCATTCAACCATATATCATTTTAAACAAAAGTATAATTATTATATTGTATTTTTCATTTCAGAATTCTAGAATACCATCTTATCCTATTCGATCATTTATTGTAAATTTTAGCCTCCTTCACAGCAAAATGTGGTATGTTTTGGGAAGATGACTCATTCAGTGAGTACTGCTATCAGGTCAATGTGGGTACTTTGTCTTGGGATGAAGCTAGATTGCAATGTCAGCACAATGGTGGAGATCTTGCCAGCGTGACCAGTTTGCGTGAACAGCAATATATAGCAGGTGACTTTAATTCAGGGGTTTAAAAAGTGTAGAAACCATATAATGTTTTCAAAAATTTTTATTTCTTACATGTACCCTTGTTTATTTCCTTGGTTACCTAATTGGGGAAAACAGCAACACTTCCTACTACATGCACTTGGTAGGTCTAACCAGAGTATTTCATTTTCTTCACTGACTTGATTTGTTTTTCTATCAGGCAAGATTGGTGCCATCTCAGACATGCGTTATTACTGGCTTGGTGGCAATGATCTACGGTACCAAAACGTATGGACGTGGAATGATGGGGCAGCGTTTGCATATCTTAACTGGGCTAAAGGTAGATTTTTAAATCCCATGTTTCAAACTCTATATTTGAGACCCATTGCATTTTTATGAGTTAGATGATATGAAACTAGTCGTCAGACTAATCAAGTACATATTTTACTGTATAACCTTGTATACTGACTGACCTTGTTTTAATGTAGACCTAAAACATTTGAAACTTATTCCCACGTGTTGGCTTGTGGACTTTGTTATTTACACACATTGCCAGAAACTGAAAGCATGTTGAAATATAATGGCTTTCTATTCCAACTTCAAAGTACGATTCAAAGAAAAAGAAAAATGTAAAGACAGTTGATAAAGATGAAAACTTCGAGAACTTGCATTAAAATTTCAAGACCAAATAAATTCCTTTGTCATGGATTTTCTACGACCCAATTTTTTATTTACTTGCATATTGTTCTTATCAAGTATATGCGTATTTTAGGCCACCCTAACTCAGAACAACGCAAAGACTGCATGGAGATAGACGCCTCCAAAACTGAATGGAAAAGCGAGGACTGCCGACAACGGCGAGGGTACATCTGCAAAAAGAAAGGTACAGTTTTAAATGTGTATGTAGAACTTATTCAATGTTGCTCACCCATATCATTCATGTGAAAATTAAACACCGGATACAATAACGAGATATAAATAATGCCGTCTCTGTCATTTAGAATCAAAAGTAAGTTGTCACATATGTTGTGCCCGGAAAAGAATTGTTATGCTCTAAGATTGCATGGATGTTCAAGGTATTGGGAAAGTTAAAGATATTTTTCTGATCAATATGATAACATTATTTTGCAGAAGAACCGCTTTGGTTTACGTAAATTGAAAAGATTGGTGTTATTATTTCCTTTTCACATTTACACTCCTGTTTCTATTAAGGACACGTCACCGTTACCACGTCCACTGTAACCACAGTTGATATAGGTATGTGTCAAAATGCAATGTGGAATTTATATATAAATATAATAAACGTAACAATATTCGATGCACATCATAATGTTTTGTAGTGGGGTCAACTCATCACTTTGTTTATATTAATTATTATTATTATTATTATTATTATTATTGTTAATGTTGTTAATGTTGTTGCTATCGATGTTGGCGTTGGGGTGATATAACATCTGGGAACAATACGAACTGAAGCCTCATTTATATTGCTGACCTGTATTTGAACAGGTGCGGAGATCAGAATCTGTGCCACAGAAGCTGTTACAAACAAAAAATAAAAAAATAAATAAAAAAAGAAGCAAGATAAGAGTTTATCTAACGTTACTGTTATAATCTCATTACCGTTTTGATAGGGTATCCATACTGTACCGACGGTTGGAAGCATAACGACCAGAGCTGTTATAAAGTGGTGAAGGACAAGAAGCAATGGAGCCTTGCCATAAACGCATGTAGAAGAGAAGGCGGTGATCTGGTGTCTATTCTGAGTGCCAATGAAAACAACTTTGTCTCTAGCTTGACAGGGGAGATGGGTTGTAAGTATTAGCATGATGACGATGATATACCCCCCCTGTATATTCTTAATATTTGTTATTTGACACAGAAAAATAGCTTAATTTCAAATAAAATGCTTTTAATGCATATATGTACCCATAAACGCTTATATATGTAGTTTCACTTCAAAAGCAACACTCTATTCATTTATCAATTTTAATTCAAAATATGAATGCGAAATTTTGAACGCACAACAGTATATGTGATGAATGATAGTCTTATATCGTAGCTTTAGGACTATAAAACAAATGATGAGCTTGCCAATTGTTCTGAATCGAACCATACTATCCTAGTTAAAACATCGCGTAGAACTTTTCTAAACCTTCTTCTAGATGATCCGAAAGAGATTTGGCTTGGGCTGAATTCCAAGAGAATGTTCAACCAGTATGAGTGGACAGATGACTCCGTGGTCACTTTTACAAGTTGGAAGGAGCGGGAGCCCAGTGGTCACCATGGAAACGGACAGTGCGTCAGCCTACTGACCACAGCAGAGGACGTAAGAGAGAGGCACAATTAGATAACGGCGAAGGCACATGTTTTAAGTTGAAACATCAGTTACTTTCTTTTCTTTCCACATATGTACCTGTAAAACTAGAAAGTTCATACGTGTACATATATATGTGATAACAGATAGTACAGTAGCATTCGTAGTTTTCCGCTTCCTTTCGAAGAGATTAAAGATGTTTTGATTTATTGTTTGTATAATTTTGCTCAGATTGGTAAATGGAAGAACAATGACTGTGATCAGTGGCTTCCCTTTATATGTAAGAAGATTGCTACACATATGGTGTCGCCACCTACCGTAATGTACGACGGATGCAATAAGGCAAAGTGGTCCTTTTTTATTTTCTTTATTTTTCTCGTTTGATGATGCATGTGTCATCTGTATTGTAACCAATATGCGAAACGCTTACATGAATGCCTTGTATTTAAGCCTGTTGAAAATAAATTGGATGTTCTGTTATGATGATAATGGTTTTAATTGAAATTGCCAAACCAGGGAATTGTTATTATATAATTAATTAACATTTTAAAGGATAAAGATCTGTCTTTTTCTTTGATTTTAAAAAAATCAGAAATCGACTCTTAACGTATTAACATTTCATACTTTATAGTGTGTAGAAAAGTTAAGTCACCACAATAAAAATATTATTACAGCATTTTTTGTACCAAAGTCACTAAACATGTTCATTTTTACTATTATTATCATTATTTTTTTGCCAGACTGCCGTTGGTTACAGAGGATCATGCTACACTGTGTCCAACACAATTGCTACATGGACAGAAGCTGGAAGGTTATGCAACGGCTCGGGTGGATATCTCTTAGCACTAAACAACCAGTAAGAATACTCTCTCTCTCTCTCTCTCTCTCTCTCTCTCTCTCTCTCAGATATGATATATCTTGATCACAAGTTTTAATCATCACATATAGAACTGAAAACCAGGCATAATAAATGAGCTATTAAACTGACCCTTTCCAGATTTTTACAAAGTAACCGTTAACCCAAACCAATAATACAAAGTAAAAAAGGGATTTTTCGTCACCAAATTTTAACTTGAAGTGAGGCAATGCATTTCCGAGACTTTAATACTAAAGTGGCTGTTTTCTTACTGTTTCGGCATTCATTACATGTTATAATCAGTCTGGAGCAAGCCTACATCTCAGGACTGATTGGCAATAAGGCAACTGATACAGAATACTGGATTGGTCTGAGTAAAGGCAGCGTGGAAAGTAGCTACAAATGGCTTACAAAGAATTCACAAAGTACATTTACAAACTGGAACAAGTTTCACACAGGTAATTGTAATTTCTGTGCATTTTACATTTTGAAAACCATTTTTTATTTTCTCCTTAAATCAAAGAAATGCAAAAAAAGTTCATAATGTTAGTGATATAGGGCCTACTGGTGTGTAGCATCTTCCTCAGTATATGATTTACTTCAAACATGCGTGCAGTGTCATCAACCCAGAATTCTTAAAAATTTTGGCTATTATGGAATTCGTGGAAAATGTAACTTTTAGGGAACGAAGAGTACGTTTGTGTGGCAGTTTCCAAGACACCAGATATCACAGGTGAATGGGTGGACAGGAAGTGCTCCCAACGAAAGTTATTCATCTGTGAATACCCCAGGGCTGGATATGTTGGCGACACTCCCACCACACCTTCTGTGTCTTATGAGTGCCCGGAAGGATGGGGCTGGAGAGAATTTGGCGATTTTTGTTATAAGGTATGTGAATCTAAATTGCAAATATGCATGTACATGCAGGTTACTCCCTGCAACAATGTATGATTGAATGTGTCATTTAACTGCATATTGATTAGTCAAGCCTCATATTGGATAAGCCAATTTGTTGAAGTGTGTATACCACTCGTATAATAGTCTGTTACAATCAGAGCGGAGGATTATCTAATCATACTTTAATACTTTCATTTCATTAGAGATATCACCACCGAGGAGGGTATAGTTGGTATGAAGGGCGCGACCACTGCAGAACGATAGGTGGCGATCTTGCAAGTTTTCATAGCGAGATTCACCTGTGGAACGCTTCCGATGTGTCCAAATATGCGTAAATATTTTGTTTAAACTATGCTATATTGATTTTAACTTTGGATTTCTGAAATTGCGTTTTTATAGATTTATGATGAATATTTGATTTATGATAAATATTTGATGCTATCAGCTATCACTGATCTTTATCTGATCTATACGTTTGCGTCTTAAATATTTCAGTTTTTTGTGCTGAGGATTTTTTCTCAGAATACCGGCCAAATCATGACAGATATAATGTTATTTATACTTCCGTTTCCTACATATATCTACTTTTTACGTACATAGTTTTACATTTAATCTTTTTAAACGCAGATCTTAATTACATCAGTCGAATTGTCTGAGCCCCAAAAATCATTTTTGTCCTAAGGAGCATTACAGTGATCAATCTGCATACGCCAATAAATTAATTTTCGCCACTGGTTTTATCACGCAGGCTTCGTTCACCCGACATTTTCTGGATTGGCCTGTCTAAACCAGACAAGAAGACCAGTCACATTTGGTCGGACGGGTCAGCGCTTGATTTCACGTACTGGAAAGACGGGGAACCGAATGACCACAATGGACAGGAAGACTGTGTTGAGATGAACCGCCATCTTGGAAGGTGGTCTGACGTCAATTGTTACGCCAGCAGGGGCGTGCTGTGTCAGTTACGGAAGGGTAGGAGTATATTTTCGTCATTATCAAGTTGTCTATTCTTCTGTATCACCTTGCACATTCAAGATTATGAAGGCTTAATGAAGGCAATGTCATTTTTAAATTAGAGTAATGAGATATGTGTACCACGCTGAGTGCAATACAATTTTTACGAATAAGAAAGTATGATCAGATAAATTAAAAACATTATAAATTAAAATTTGATGAACAGTATTGTTTCAGTTTTAAGGTCTACATTCGAGATGAAGCAGGTTTTGTTCAGATTGCTGCCAGTTGTTTTCTATGTCTGTTCAATTGTTTTTGTTTGTTACAGGCGATCCCCTCTTAACTACCGTCACAGCAACATCGCCAACACCAGGTATGATCATGGTTTTGAAATGAATACATGTGTATACAAAGGTAAAAGACAAACGCACAAAATTTTACGACAAAGTAGGTTCTTCCTTTACAAACTTTTTTTGGTGATTCCAAATATTAAATGTGAATTCACCCTGGTTTCGATTTACGTAATGGGAAAATTAGAAAACTGATATTTTATTAGTGACTTGTGATGTTTCCATTGTTTGAAATAGCTGGGCGAACTACTTTTATTTCCTGAAACCTTAAGGAAGGAGTCAGCATTCTCATAAAGTGAACGATGAAGGGAGAAGTATATTGCTTTAATTTTTAATGGCAAAAATCTATCTTTATGTAAAAACTATACAAATACATGTATATAATCGTATTTTAGCTTCTCAATGTGGTTCGGATTCAAAATGGTTTGCATACAAAGATTACTGTTACACTGTGAGTCAATCCTATGGAACGAATGAAGTAGTGTCATGGCAAGACGCAAGAGGGCAGTGCTTGCAGTCCGGCGGGGATCTAGCCAGTATACACGACAGTGATGAAAATGACTTTGTTCTTTATATCGCAGTAAGTTGAATTCAATTTTAATACAGAGCAAAATTGGTATTTCAGTGAATCCAAGTATACCCTTTCAAGATACAGTATTCAAATAAAAATGGTAAATTGATTCTTATATTATATGTTTTATAGCAACATATAGTAGATATCGTGAAAATTCCGTAATACAACATTGCCCCATAATTTTCAGTCTCACAAGAGTTTTGCTTCGAAGTACTGGATTGGACTGAATGAGTTGGACTTAGAAAATTACAAGTAAGTATCTTTATCTGCTGTAGCGTAAATAGCTTATCCAAACATTTTTCATGTATTTTTTGTACATTGGCGTCTTTCGAGTTTTTTCAACTATCTCCATTGTTCAAATGTGTTTCATTTGCTACAGGATTAACTGTTAACGGCGTCAGTGACTTAAAGTTATATATATTGCAAGCTTGGATTCCCTGTAAATCCCGTAAAACATTTCTACTAGTTTCTTATTCAACTCTTATAATGTCGACATGCCAAAAGATAAACGAAACTAATCACTCGATCAGCCATAGAAGAGCTTTGAACCGCACCTTCATGAAACTTTTGGTCGTTAATGGATTTACTTATCCGTACCTCTACTTTGTAAAAGTCCACCTAACTGACATAGTGATTTACAGTATGGCTCGCCACTGCTGAGCATGCAATAGCACAATTATTCAATTGACTTGCCGGAATTAATCGACCGAGGATTTTTTATAGCACAGAAACAAGCAGAACATATCCATTTAAATATCATGTTTGTGGTTTTGTGGCAAAAAATGACTTCAAATACATCTTAAAAGAATGTACAAATATGCATTCTATTCTATTCTCTTCTGTCCTTTTCTGTTCTCTTCTCTTCTGTTATTTTCCATTGTATTCTATTCTATCACCGCAGATGGTCTGATGGCACGGCTACTGACTACACATCCTGGAGTCTTAACGAACCAAACGATCTCCATGGTGGCCAGAAGTGTGTTATATTCATAACCGAAACAGGTGATTGGTTTGGGGCATCTAAATTTTTGATGTCCAAATTTCTACACTTTATATCATTGCAGTTTTTTTAAAGTTAACAATACTAAGTGCTTAAAGTTTATTGTATTCATTCTATAGCTATGATATGTGATGGAATCCAGTGTTAAGGCACTTCTGATTATTATATCTGATTGTATGTGTATCGATACACTTGGTTATTGGTTCGTTCTAAGTATTAAGATAGAATGCATGTTCCATGATATTTTTAATTTCCTTTTTGTCACATTGTGTGTATATTTGAGAATGCCAAAGGAATATGCTGGCAGAGTGCAATACGAAAACTATTACATATGGAATGTTATATAAAACTACATAGCCTGAATGTACCCATTGTACATTTATATAAAAGTACTGTAAATACAGGGCATTGGAGTGACGAGAACTGTGGCGAAGCACTGAGCTACATATGTAAGAAACACAAAGACAGCAGTACAACGGCCACACCCACCCCAACACCAGTCATACATGGTCAATGCCCAGTTGGATTCCATGGGATCGGTAAGTGACCAGTATTTGGTTACGACACTGAAAGCAGATTTCATGAATTGTTATTCAAACATTAGTTTGAGACTTTGTTTTTTCTTTTGCTGTAATAAACCGATTAATAAATAAATTTGTATTAAACAACAATTTTAGGTTTAAAATTATTTATAAAGAATTACCCTAGATTCTACATATTCCAGGAAACAAGTGTTACTTGATCCAAGGAGATGGCACTGACGTCAGTACGTTAAAGAACTGGACGGAGGCGATAGATGCATGCGCAGCACTGAATAGTAAATACACACTGGCTAGCATTACAAACCCATTAGAGGAAGGTAATCTGTCGATTTTTTTTCTTTTTTGTAAACATTATTCGTACAAAATGTATTTTAGCGTAAAAATTTAATTAACAGTTCATTATAAATCTTGTTTAAATAATAATAATAAATGATTTTCAAAATCGGTATGAAATGGTTATGGCGTTGTTAATGAATCCATATGCTGCGTACAGTATTACATAACATTTTGCTATTCTTTATATATTTCTGTGTCAATTAACTGTTGTCTAGTTGAGTTTTATTGTAAAATGGATACATGCACACTCTCATCATCGGAATGCATTACACGGTCCATCCTTCAACTACGACTACAGTGACCTTCCTTCTTTAAAACATCTGTATTTCAGCACTAGTGACGACCCTTCTGAAAGGGAAAACAGTAGATTTTTGGCTTGGAATCAGCATGTTTTGGGTGGGCACGAGGCACAGGATGAGGAAATTTCAATGGACTGACAACACAAAAGTTGACTTCCTATACTGGGACCACGGAGAACCCAATGGCCAGTCATATGGAGCTGATATGGTATGTATGACATGTAACTGTTAAATACTATGTCAATCAACTTGATGATCGTATATGTTCAAGTATGTAAAAAAAACATCGTAATATTGACATTGCATAAAAAGCCTGTGGAGTGTTAATTTATTTCATGTCATTTTATTTCAGTTGTTTATTTTTGCCTTCAGTAGCATACAGTGGCAAAATTTATAGCTTATAGATATAAAATAAGTTATATATTTATATTTGTTGTTAGAAGCATGTTTTTCTTTTACTTATTATGATCGATTTTCAGGAAAATTGTGTCAGCATAAGCACTAAGACATTGTCGGTTGGGCATTGGCAAGATAGAAAGTGTGCGATTAGGATGGGATATGTGTGCCAAGCTTGGAAAGGTGCAAATTGTTATGTTATTTACAATATTTTAAATTTTACATTACATTCGCTTCACATGTGGAACTCAATTATATCATGCTGTATGATAGCCAAAAGGCAGTCTTTTAAACTGGTTAACAGTGAAATAATTTAAATTTATATACTGGGTATTATGGGTTAGAAATCTACAGACTACAAAATATATTATAATCCTTATTTGCTTCTTATATTAGTGGAATAAACAATGATGATAAAGACAAAAACATGTTTTCTCCTCTAAAAATATGTAACTACTATCTTGCGTATTGTAAGCATTAATTAATGCCTTGCAAATTAACATTGTTATTATTATCGTTGTTGTTGTTGTTTTCTTCTTTCTCTTGTTTATTTTTATCATTGTTGTTGTTGTTGTTGTTGTTCTATTTCTTCTTCCCCTTCTTGTTTATTTTTATATATGAATTTCTTACAAATATTAATAATATTTCTTGCAAATATTAAAAAGTAGTTTTATTTACAAGACCCTACCTTGACCACCCAAGCACCAACACAGGCCACTACATCTTGTCCCCTCGGTTACTTATCCTTTGGGGACGCCTGCTACCAAATGACGTCACCTATGACGTGGGAAGTAGCCAAAGTCACGTGTGAGAGACAACAAGATACGCTGGTGTCTATAATGGATGGATATGAACAGGCATTTCTCATGCTGGTAACGCAGCAGCCCCCACAGCCCATTTGGCTGGGTATTTATAGGAATGGGGTAATGAAAATTAGCTAACGTATATAAGTTGAGTCTTGAATGATTATATATTAAAGTGATTGCGTAACATGTCATGTTGGCCGAGTTTCAATCAAACATGGCTTCGGATGAAGAACAGAGAGAACTTTCTTGCAGTTAACAGTGGTTTTTGTATGTATTTATAATACAATTAACTGATGCCACGATAAAAACAATTGCCCCTTGCACCTACTGTACCCTAATCCCTCATACAGACAAGGGTCCAATACCGACTGTTCAAATAACCCCACATTTTCTTAATCCATCACCTTCTCTCCTGTTTTTTATTTCACAGTCCACATACCAATGGGTAGATGGCTGGCCAGTGGATTATCTCAATTGGGCATCAATAGCGCCCATAGGCATAGATCCATCAAAATGCATCGCTCTTATGCCAGGAGGCCGTTGGAATGATATGCCGTGTACAGCTAACCTGCCATCAGTATGCAAAAGAACATCGGGTACTTATGTTATTATTGCAAGTGCAATGTATATAATTGTTATAGTCCATTGCATGTGCAATATACATCATATCAATAATAATGATGATGCTTATTATCATAATAACAATAACAATAGGAGTAATAACAAAGTAGGAACCATACTCCGATATTCAAAGTCTCTTTTAGACCAAACTAGTTGCTATTGTACTCAAATATTTTGATTAAATTTAATCATTTATATCAGATATCTATAATAATTGACTTATACTGTCACACTGATATTACATGTATGTCATTATGATATTTTTGCAATATATTATATGCATTTTTAAAAGACGAAAGGTAAAATGTTAAAGACTTAATAATATGAGCATTATATATCTATTTGTTAATTTATATTTCAGCCTCACCTCCCACTATTATTCCTGAACCTAAAAACACAGGGCAGTGTCCGAGTGGCAACTCATGGCGTCCATACGGCCACCACTGCTATCAATTTAACCAACAATTCAAGAGGTGGGGCCAAGCGAACTTTCATTGTTATAAACAAGGCGGGACGCTAGCGTCTATAACAAGTCAGGGCATTATGAGATTCATTGTAAAGACTCTCCGAGAGATGAAATCTAGACAGAGTAGAAAGTATTATATTGGGTTGGTTAGGAAATTTGGAGGTAGGATATTGTTTAGTTACAGAGGCTGATTTCTTAAATTCCACACAATCGCCGCATTCAAAAGTGTAACATGTAAGGTGATGATAGAAGTACTGTACCTCGTCTTCCCAAAATTTCATTGGTCGGATTTATTATATATATTTCATATGAATGGCTAGTTATAAAAGTTAGCATGGTTATGTCTTCATATTCAGTATCAAAATAGACAAATATTCAACTGATGTGAGCAAGTAGAAAATATTGTCATAGAACTTTTGCAATGCGCTTATTTTCAGGATCATTTGGTTGGGAAGACGGTTCACTTGTCAATTATTTGAATTGGGAGGAAATGGAGCCTTCTAATAACACTGAGAAAAACTGTGCTACCATACACCCAGGAAATGGAGGGTGGCAGGCCGCTAATTGTTTATATTTCCATAACTTTATTTGTAAAATAGCAAAAAGTAAGTAGACATAGTCTAAAGTTTTTTGTTTTGTTTTTTTCCAAGATGTTTTTGATAGAACCAATTTGTAAAAACTCCTATATTTAGATGCTATATATACTTATGTCTAAAGCTCTCTCTCTCTGTCTCCCTCTCCCCCACTCTCTCTCTCTCTCTCTCTCTCTCTCTCTCACACACACACACACACACACACACACACACACACACGTCACACACACATAGTTCTAGTTTGGCTATGTTTTGTATGTATATGTAGCACGTGTATACCTGTCGGTTTGTCCGTCTCCTCATCCTCCAGCCCGACGGGCCATTCCTTCACATGTGTGTGCACATTGCCAGCGTTTCAAAAAGGACAGGGACATTCCGCCTAAGGTGTACAGACATTGCTGTTTGTGATTGTGCTATTTTCATACGTTAAATCTGATCCATCAAGTATGTGAAGACTTGCTTTGAAGGAATTAAATGCATTATCAGTTCCAGTGCCAACCACACCAGGTCCTGCGTGCAGAGAAGATTGGTTCCAAAGAGACAATATGTGCTACAAGGTAACGTTTGTCTTAAAAACAAAAGGGGCGTTTTACAATAAATAAATAAATAAATAAATAAATTAGTAAATTAATAAAAGTAAATTGCAAAATATATCAACTTTGTATAATTTTGCAATGAACAAAATATATACCGTATAAACTTTGTTGAACTGCTTTTGACCATTTAAGGCGTTTTTTAAAACGGGCGTACTCAAGAAGACGTGGGAAAACGCCCGTCTCTTTTGTCAGTCAGAAGGGGGAGATCTGGCAAGTTTTCACAGCTCGGAGGAAATAGATTGGTTCATGGGTCGATTAAAAAGTACTGACAGGTATACTTAAAATGAGATATTTCTATTACATTTTGCAAAAAGATTTTTTGTAAATGTTCAACATATTACCATATGACAAAGGTTATTTTGCCCTTTCATTTTGTGAATAGTTGTAGGTAATGTAACAGGTATTTAGAATAAATATTTCCACAAACATATTATAATATAACAGGTGAATCTGTAACTTTAGTTTTTTTCCCGATGTGCGCATTTTAAAATATCTCAAAGTTAACCTGGCGTCGTTTTTCTCTGTCCTAGATATTCACTGAACACGAGGTCACTTTGGATTGGATTGCATCTGGCAACAAATACAACAGGTGAGTTTGGAAGCAAATTGTCCTTATTTTCTTTAGGCACATTCCTTTTAACATAATTAGAAACCACTGTTACCATCAGTGAACCAAATCATTTATAAATATAACCTGTATTTAGATATCAATAAAACAGTACCGGTTGATGTTGTTATATATAAATATAACGCAATGTTAAATTCACAAATAATGCTGTTAACTTACTAGTCACAATTCATAACAATGTTTAGATAATTAATAGTTCTTTGCATGGATTCCGGTATCTTGGTTGTTGTGATTTTATCGTATAGATGGCGCCAACCATACCTGGTCTGACGGCACAGCAAACACGTACGCCCCCTGGGGACTAGGCGAACCTGACAACCACAACGGCAGAGAAATGTGTGTTAGCCTCTTCAAGACGAAGGGGACTTTCAGAGATGATAACTGTGCAGCTGCCAAAGGCTGGATATGTAAAACATCGGTTACTGCAACTCCTATGCCAAGCACAATAACGACGCCCATTCAAGGTAAATTGAAAAAAAAAGCAAAAACGTCAAAAGTTTCTAGGTAGTGCTAACCGATATCGGTGCAGTGTGTTTGTATCATTCACCTAGAAGATTAGCCGGCGGTATATTTAACTTAAATGTGATGTTGCACCCTGTAGTGTTGCGATGATGATTACTAAAGAGAGCGATTTTTGTGTGTGGTTCTCTTTTGTCAACCATGAAACTTGGTGCATATTGGCCTAACTGAGCTTTATTGTCTCATTTAAGTAGCTAAATTCCATGTTGTAAATACTATGTTCATGTTTCCATAGGTGTCTTTATTTTTTCATAATTTGAATTTTTTCATAATTTTAGTATGGGTATTTGTGTTACAATAGTGCTAGTACAAAGAACGGAGTATTTATTTACGCAGTTATGTTTCAATCTAGGCGTGGGTAATTGTGGTGAAAACTGGAACTCTTTCGGCGAACACTGTTACTATGTTAGTGAGGATAGCAGTTGGACATTAACACCTAAAAAGTCTTGGTTCAAGGCACGCCAGTGGTGCCTGGAGAACGCTGGCGATCTTCTTAGTATACAGACTACCGGTGAGGAGGATTTTGTAACAACATTGGTCAGCAAGACACAATACACCAAGTTTTGGATCGGTGCAAACTCGTTTGATCTTCAGGGATACAGGCAAGTTTCATTGTGATACGACAGTTCATTAAATGCCAGTTTCATATATGTAAATGACTGATATATCCTCGAGTCTATGATATTTCTGTAGTTTTGAGCAACCACCATTCCACTGGTGTAGATACTGTTCCTGGTATTTTGAATTGATTCAATATGGCAGAACCCAATGTATTTTGCATGGTTTAATGCTTTTCTATATTTTAGATAATATTTCTAAACAAAATTCATTTTTATGAAGAAAGGAAGAAAAAATTCAAGACTCAAAGCATTGAGTAAACGCACAATATATATATATATATATATATATTGTGCGTTTACTCAATGCTTTGAGTAATATCATATCTTTATAGAAAATAAGAAACCTATATTTCAAACCATCAAGATCAGACAAATGTGCGAACTCCCAGCTGTAAAGTTTCTGTAAAATATCTTTGACAGATGGGCCGACGGCTCTCCAATGATCTACATTAACTGGGCCAAAGGAGAGCCAAACTCTGTTCACGGGAGCGAGAGATGTGTGAATATCCACTCAGGGAAGAATAACGTCATTCCGGGTACGAAGACAAAGGCAGTGAATTGTTTTGCTAGTCAAGTGTGTGATGCACCGCAAAGACGTAATGAAATATTTTCAGGAAAACAGTGCATATTGATATTATGCAATTTCGAAATTTTGACAACTTTTTGCTCTGTTGTATGGGGGTTGTATGTGTGATCATTGAATTTAATGTTGTCGCTATACCCCGTCTTTTAATTTAGTGTCATATTACATTTTATCATTTTAATAAATGGCAATATCAGTCATATGGACTTATTTCTTATTTGACTTTGAGCAAAAACTGAGCTTTGTTGTGCTTGAGAACATTTGGCTACATAAATTCTTTTAAAAAACCAGACAGTTACATTTTGTATCATACGTCTCTTTTTCTTTTCACAAATTTATATTTTCTGTTCTCCAGGGACCTTCAATGACGACAACTGTGCTGATAAAATGCCATTCATATGTAAGAAACACCAGTCAAGTAAGACAGCTGGAACAATGGCTACGACACCCTCCATTGGCGGTTATTGTCCCAGAGGATTTCACGGCGTTGGTATGTATAAGATCGAAATGAAGCGCAACTTGGATGCTTCATACTGTTCTCTTTCTTATGTTACAGCATGTTATCATTTCCCCTCTGAGGGCCATTTGCGTCAATTGTTGAAACAGGCGGTATGATGTGTTAATCTATAGCCATGAATCAAAATGAGTCTTTAGGTTGCAGTTTTTGTCTTTCGTCTGCATTGAAGCCAACGATTGATTTTTTAATGAACCGTTATCTGGTTCATTATCAGAAAAAAGCAGGAACTTTTTATTGTTCAGAATTAAAAAACGATTCTTTTTTAGTCCTCTTCACAATTACTAGTTTGTTTGGGAACGACGACCGGCAGCGCTGTCTTGCATGTCACACAGGTCGGAGTACAATATATGCGGTTTAAGTTATCTAAATATTTCTCATGTTGCACCAAGCTTTGTCTATACATAGCATGAAATACTCATTAAATAGGTAACAGGTGTTACAAGTTTTTCGGAAAGGTGGATTCAGAGAGGAAGACATGGGAGGATGCGGCAGCTGCATGTTCGACCTTGGGTAAAGAATTTACTTTGGCCTCCATTACGAACCCTCTGGAACAAGGTAAGGTATAGGTCATAAAAGGGTGATCCAACGTTGCTGTTCTTGAATAGATCATAAATGGTTTATTCTGATACGCACGCAGAAAATACAAGATTTTTCTTGGGGGTGGGGGGTACACAAGGATAAAAAATGTCACTAGTTGCATTATGTTATTCTTATATTTTATGAATGCGTTCTCAGTGTGGTTAAATGCTTCTCTTTAAAGTCTATACACTCTCTTTGAATTAGAGTGGACGGTTTTCAGTAGAATAACAAAACAAGTTTAACATTGTATTAACAAAATAAACATGATTTTGTAAATTTAACATTGCAAATGACAGGGTTCGTAACCAGTTATTTGCAAGACACCGATGTTGACCTCTGGATAGGCTTGAGCTCTACTTTCGACTATATTTATGCCCGCCGCCATGTTTTCCGTTGGCTGACCAACGAGGAAGCGAGCTTTGTGAACTGGGACGTTAGGAGTCCCACGTTAGGACAAGTAAGTATGCCGTATTGGGAATGGGCAAGTTGTTAATGAAAGCGATCATTGCTCATATAAGTTCGTGTTCAGGGTGTCAGTATCGGTTGAAGGAATTAGGTGTTTATGAAGCAGTACAAAAGTGTAGTTTTTAGTTTGCTTCTTGTATTTGAGAGTCAGTGTTTGCTGCTTGCACGTTGTCAGTGCCCAATACATTATACAGGTAAGTTAAGTAGATCTGCACTACACATACCCTACTTAAAAAAAGTGGTGAAAGGAGCGTTACATGAAATGCAAGAATGTGTGAATGATGTCTAAAAATGTTACATTGTGATACTGCTTTTGTCAGTAAACATGGGTTTTAAAGTGCTTTTACGCATGTTTTTTTTTTTTTTTTTTTTTTTTTTTTTTTTTTTTTTAACCTTCATGTCTGTCTCTGCCCTGCCTTGTAACTCTTTGAACGGACATGGGAAGACGTTGAATCTTAATTGTGTTTTTTGCTCGTATTGCTTTTTCCATTTTAGTCAAATGATAGAGAATGCGTTAAAGTCAGAAATACTAAGAGACGTCTGGGAAGATGGGTTGACGTAGAGTGTTCTCAGGTTAATGGCTACATATGCCAAACCTGGAAAGGTAGTCTTTTTTGTTGAACTTTTGATAATTTTATATGAATATATATATCTCAATTTTTAATCTGAAAGTCAGTAGGCGTTGGATGAAATTTCTGCACGAGAAGGACGTTTAAAGATAACATATGACATATCGCATTTTCGTTTGAGATAAAAATGATACATGTAAAGTCATTGGGATTCTGTGATATTCAAGTTTTACACTTAATTATTTCACTTGGTGTACGGCGATCCACAATCAAGACAAAATAAGAAACTAAATACACGTATTGTCATTGTTTGTAATTTGGCAGAACTCTGTGTACCTCCTTTATGAAGTCACGTGTTAATTCGGCCAATCAAAACATTTTTATTTAGATTCCCGTATCAGTACTCCGTGGACACCAGCGGTTTCAACCTCGGGTGCCTGTAAGTCTGGTTACACGACTTACAATGGTCAGGCATGCTATAAACTCTACATGGAGGCTGTTAGCTGGGAACAAGCACGGGACCAATGCACGGACGATGGGACTTTGTTGGCATTTGTACCAGATCTCCGCACGGAGGCCAATATTCAGTTAGTAATGGCAGAGGCGTCTGGCCAACCTGCTTGGGTTGGTTTAAAGGATATGGGTCAGGTAAATTATTTTGAGAGAAGAGTTTCATTAGCTCTGTATGTATCAATTTAAATTATTGTTTTTCTTTTTATCAATAGCTTATAAAATATGTAGGTTTTACCTCCAATATTTCTGTGACTGTCAGTCACCATCATCAGGGAGTAAATGACTAGGGTCATTTCACCTGGAATGAAAATCCAGGTCAATTGCCCCTTATCACAATTGCCCCTAAATGATTTTGAATTGATGCTCATATTCCATGTTTCCCACTAAAATAATATACAACCAAACTTCATTATTTTCATCTCATCGTCCTGGCGATTATTTCAGCATTATGTGCACCAACCCGTAAAAAACTCACTATTACCATGTAGCATACATGTGTATATACGCCCCCTATCATTTTTCTTATAATGTGAATGGTATTATTTTGACAAATAATTGCAAGTATTCTATATAAACAATTTGTCCCACCTGTGAAATTTAGCAAAACTTTAGTTGGGTGAACGAATGGCCTCTGACCTATACTAACTGGGATCAGGGTCAACCAAGCGCAGCAGGCCAGTGTGGTGTGATAACTCCCAACGCCAAATGGAGGTCTTCAGACTGCAATGATAGATATCCTTTTGTCTGTATGTCAACGGAGGGTAAGTAATGTTCTTGCAAATTTAAGTGACTATCGGATAGAATACGATTAACATAGACATTTATAAATTTAGGTTGAGAACTGGATACTGTTCTGTTTCCCTGTTGCGTTTGTTTCAACCAAGGAGACACTTTCTCCTCATCACATTCACACGTACATTTACTTCATTTTTGACTGTTTCGCCTTATTACATTTGAAACTTGATAACCCATTTTTCTCTTTATTTCTAGCCAAACCCCCAACCACCACGGTGCCATTGCCTGGGTGGTGTCCTGAAGGAAACGGGTGGATTGAGTACGGCGCTTCCTGTTTCTTTTACGATGCGCATGCGTATGAAACTTGGGCGGGCGCTAAATTTGAATGCTACAAGCGTGGAGGACAACTTGCATCTTTCGCAAATCAAGATGAGGTGGATTTTATTCTTGGTTTAATGAAAAGTGAGAGCACGTATAGAAACTTGTGGATTGGTCTTATTCGAAGATTTCAAGGTGTGTTTTGATTATTGCAAAAATTACTATTTTACTTGTCTACGCGATAAAATGAAATAAAAGTAATTATAACAGTGAACTTATCAATTATTATTATTATTATATGTTGTCATGTACATTGTACATGTAGTACCTAGGCATTCATCTCTTATGAAAAACTAGATAATAATTATATTTATTTTTCAGTTGGAATTATTATACAAGTAAATTATTAGCATACACTTTGTCATAGAATTATCATACTGAACAAGATATTGAACATTCATTTTTTGAAAAAAAAATTTTTTCTACAAAATCTGAACTTTTTATTCGCACCTCGTCCACACTTTCATAAAAAACCAACGTTATTAAAAAATTATCCTTCCAGATGAGTTTGTTTGGGTTGATGGGACACCTGTTGATTTCACGAACTGGTCACCTGGACAACCACGTGACCAAGGAAGAAGCGAGGACTGCGTGGAGTTCAAGGTCACGACCGGTGAATGGGATGACATCGTTTGTAACCGTGGTTTAGGATTTATATGCAAAACTCCAAAGAGTAAGAACTGAAACATGCTAATTAATTTCAATTTCTATAATCTTGCTCCTTTCTTCAAGTTTGAGAAACGCCACGGTTAAATCGAAGAGATACAAAAAAATATTATCATTTTTTCAACAGCAAACTTAAATCGTCTGATACGATCATTCGTAAGTTCACAATTTTTCGTTTTCACTATCATCGGTTCATTTACCTTTATGAAAGATTTAAATCATCGGTCATCTCCCCTGTGATACAGCTGTATCAAACGCAGTCAAAAAGAAAAAAATATTAACTGATGCTGTTTCCATATACGATTCACAGTTAGGCCAACAGCATCCGTATCGATCAACGAAACATCACCATTGCAAACGGAATCAGGAAATCCCACGGTATCACCAGAGACCAACAAGCAGACAGAGGCACAAATGGGTAAAATTATTATTTTTTCAACCCTATTTGAATTCTACAGCCTTCTCGTTATCTGAACTAGCACTGACACGTAGTAATACTTTAGGTCAAAATGCTGAGCATTGTGTGTTTTTTTGTGCTGTGCTTCTTATGCTTTACCTGTTTAACAGTAATAATTTAACTGCATTTGGGCGTGTCACTTCATCTCATTTTGGTATTCGTTATAACGAAGCATCAAACCTACTCAGACTTAGTTTACACTGTCAAATGCAAAAGCAAATGTATATCTGCACGTTTCAAATGATTTTTTTCAATATTGCACCACAGGACTACCCGTGAATGGAGGGACTGTTGCAGTAATAGTTCTATGTCTGGTCATTGCTTGCCTACTCGCCATCATAGGGTTCACTGTATTTAGACGGCGTCAAGTATCCATTGCTTTGGCGTCCTTCAACAAAGAAACTGGAGACACTGTGGCATTTTCATATGCAGATAACAAAGATACTGAGCTTTTTGAAATACCATTCAATGACGAAAATGAACGTTTGTAAAATGGATACTCATCGCCAGTCTGGGGACCAATTTGGAAATAAAAAGCATGTTAAACCTGGTACTTGTTAGCCTTAACCAACGGGCGTTCTACTTTTTCTGTTACATCGCGTGATAATATTTTCTCAAAATTTGGAATAATTTCAAGTGGCCAATATGACACCTAGATCTGATCAGTATATAGGAAGTAGCAAGAACATTTGCTGGACGGGTAAAAACCATATTTAGGAGGAAGGTCACCTGTTATCCTCGACCTGTGACCAGCCATATTTATTTTTTCCCTTACCCATTAAATGCCCTTTGCCTACCATTACTCCAAAGTCACTGCATAGCAATTGCCCTTGAAGGGTGATATTGTATTTTTATTATTACTGTGGTTTGAAGTCCACTTTTTTCCTGTGAACTGTGATCTTCGGTTTTATTCTCGTGTTCCTGTTACGTAGGCCAATTCTGTAAGTGTCATTGGTACATAATGTTCATTGCATGTACACACGTGAAGTGTGTTTATTAAAACTTTTACAGTTTGGAGGATGAAATAAAGTTGCTGTAAAATATACCTAACGAATTTTATTTTATATTCTACTGTATGCCAGCTGTACGTTGACGCTATTGTTAAAGAAGAGAGATAATACAACCTAGGTAGGGTACCTTGACGCAGTGACGCTATATACTCATCATGATAGACTTGATCAGGCAGAATATATCATTTATCTGTAATATATTGATCCGCAGCTGGGTGTAGATTATAAAATGAATCATGAAACTGAAACAATCCAATCATGAACAAACTGTGATTTTCACACATTTATCGGCAGGGGTTATCGAAGCTCTTTTGTAAATCGATTAGTATCGAAGCTATTGCCCTCCAAGGTGGAGGGGTTATCCGAATATTCGATAAGACGGGATACTGTCTTGCTGCAGTTCGTCTCATTTGGCCACAACATTTGTAAATATATGTATCAATACACCACATCATGTGTGTCAGAAACAATGACTAATATCGATACAGTTGCAGCCAAAACCTATGCGCTATCTGCAAGATGCACGTGATCCAGATCATCTAGGCGTTTCATACTCCACTGAAGACAGCAGTGATGGGGTTCCGCACAGTAGTTTTATTTTCCTGTTTGATATTTAAACTGCCTTCTGGTAAGTACAAAGTGAGAGTGAAAGTAAAAAATGCGCCTCATATTGTAAATGCAATGCTGATAATTTTCACACTGGCCATTTACTATCACCAAAGTTCATTTAGCTAAAACCACCTGCTTCAGCTCAAATGAACAGCGCCTGCCAAACATGATTTCAAAACCAAAAGGAACGCCAATAATGTTTAGTTGTTAAGTGCCAGTCATGATTGAAATAGGAAATTGTTTTCGGCGTTAGTGTTATAGATACCATTGTTTTGAAATTGGAGAGATTACAAAAAGGTTCTTGATAAATACAGAACAAATTAAGCCTTTATCAAATGTTCAGCCATGTTGTACTGAAAACAACGTGTCAAATAATATAACGAAGCGCACACGTGTTTTGCCAATTGTTGAATGGTAAAAAAAAGCATTACGTTTTTTAAAAAATTGTACAAAATGATATTGTAAATGCCTTATACAAACGTTCGTTTCAGTCCTTGGGCAGTTATGTCCAAACGGGTGGCTGGAAAGTCCAATAAGTGATTACTGCTTCAGATTCAACTTCGACAGAAACGGCAAAACATGGCAGGAGGCTCGGGAGGCATGTCAAGCAACACTTGGCGACCTTACTTGGTATTCCGATGAGAAGGAACGGGTAGGTCTGATTTTGATTAACTTTATTGTATTAGTCTTACTTCATAAAGTGATTTACAATCATTCGGTCATTATGCAGCAAGCACCCTGCTTCTCAGACACTTAGTGGTGGTAATATCCGTGCAGATTGAAACGGCTATCCTTATACAATTAGAAACTCACCGACACTTATTCCCACTTGTATTAAAAGTCCGAGATTTGGGGTGCACATTTTCCACTTGTATCTGCCTCAATCGTGGGGGTGCATTAAATCAAGATCAAGTTCAAATATCAGAAAGCTATTTTATCTCATAATTAGTTTCGTCATTTTATAGGTGCATTGGGACCCCATCATTACGGCCTTTCATAACAGTAGTATCTACTTTTTTGCAGTGTAAAAGCCCTGCTCTTTTTCTTCATCTCAGTATGGCGACAAGGATATGTAATAAAGGGGGGGGGGGTTGGTAGCGTTAACTTTGAAATCTAGCATTTTCATCCCATAGAAAGCAAACCGTGGGTTATTCAAATGGTTTTGTCATTCAGGGTTTTATTACCACGACAGCGGACAGACTGACCCTCCTACACTCCAAAAGCCAAACGTGGTGGATAGGAGTAACAAAGGGGAAAAGGGATGGAGCTTGGCAGTGGGTGACCGGAGAAAAAGCCGTGACTAACCTCTTGTAAGTTTGCGTGTTTTTCTAATCAATGTGATGTTTAGTAATCGCGATGCTTGTGCCCAATATGACGTATTCAAGTATATTCATGCCGCAACTACATATGTAATTACAGTTTTAAGGCTACATTAACGTCACATGTAACGAATAAGTTCAAAGTTATTGTATTTCCTTAAAATTTGAAGTCGGGCAACCTCAGCTGTGTGCTGCAATACATTAATTATTCTCTATCAAAGAAGTTTGTGTAAAGAAATGTGAAATTTATATGGTAAACATGCAAATCAAATGGCGACTTTACGTTGTTTGATGACCAGGGACTGGGCTACTCAGGAACCCGACAATAGCGGGAACCAAGATCAAAATTGTGGAGCATTGCGCGTGCACCGAAATATGTCAGTCAAAACGAAAATGAAAACTGAAAATTGCCATGGTTCCTTTCCCTACATCTGCAAGAGGCACAAAGGTCATTATAAACCCGCTTGATATGTATATATAGAAATAGTGAATTTGGACAGCAAAAATACGCTAAAAGATCTCATTATAAACAACACATTATAAAGCGCATAATGTAAAACATTAAATGAAAATAAGTGTAGATTAATATTAGTTTACACATAAATGTTTTCAACGACATGGGGCGGTGAATAATCCAATACATTGTTTTGTAAAAACGTGAGAAAAGCATTAGATAAACGTTCTTTATAGTTTCAAGTCTGACTGGGTATCTTTGCAAATGGCATTGAATCTTTATCAGCACCAATATATGTCATATACAGAATACCTTTTGGGAAGTTTCATCCTTTCTTGGTCTTGCGTTGGCACGTTTAATATTCATCTAATATCTAAATATTATGGGTATCAAATGAGAGAAGACCTAACCCTAATTAATCTGCTTCAGCTGTGGTTGGTGAGTGTCCCGACCAGTGGCAAAATGTTGACGACTCCTGCTTTCGACATTTTCACACAGAAGAGGAATGGCAATATGCGAAGTACGTATTTTCTTTTTGTTAGGCGTAGATCTATTCACCTGTTTATCGCACGGGCTCATAAACGCCGTCTCCGCGACAAAACAGTGAAAATCACACTTTGGTTAGATATACATTCCTTGCAAGCGGTTTAATTGTCATTGGCAACTTGACAAAATAGTTTTAAAACCCACATATTGACCGGTGCCTAAATCATCATTTTTTTATATGAAGTAATAATCACCATGAATAAATTCAATCTCATGAACGAAACGGGTTCGTGTATTTCACTTAGCCTCAGCAATATACTGATAATTTACCACACAACCAATCTTAGACGATGACACGAGTCCTGATGAGTAAAGTGTATGTACGTAAAGATAACATGTATTATTTACTTCCCATTCCAGCAATAACTGTAGACAATACAGTGCCCATTTAGCAACAGTTGACAGCGAAATACAGCAACAGTTTCTATTTGATGCTGCACGGTTTAGTGATAAGGCCATCTGGATTGGTTATTGGGCTGGCTTAAACAAAGAGGTACAACGTTTTAATGAACTAAAAAAATACTGGTCATAATAATGCATGTTAATAATAATACTCTAACATTCTGAAATGTCGGTATGTGGTATAATTGATGTCATTTCTATTATTTCTACCAACCACGTGTGATCTATATTCATAATGTATTTTTTAGACACAAACATTACTATGAAACCTTCTTATCATTCATGCGATAATTTCAGCATAAAACCTCATGGATGAAGCGGAACGAAGCCCTAAAGCATACGGACGTTCAGTACTGGGTAGAGGGAACGCCGCCTACACCAAGTATACGCAGGTACAACCATGTCGTATATTTCAGTTTTAATATTTGGAATTTTGATTACTTGATTTATCCAGTGAAGCATGAAGGACTTTGCTACGTACATGTTTTAACTTAAAAGTATGTGCTTCATGTACATTGTATGCCACTGTTTGCAAAAAGAAGTCCATTACCTTGCATTATAATTAAAAGGATCACTATATAATCATAAACAGTGAAAATGCAACAGCCAGACCTAAAAAGAGCGCGATGACCATTTCACTGGCTGTGATGGAAGTGATTAGCGTTATACTGCTAGAGTTTAGATAACGTTAAATGTGGGTATCACAGGATTTGCATTGACTGCTTATACGGCAGCTAGTTAGAATAAGTATTTAATGATAGTAATTATAAATTCGTGTCTGTAGTGGGCAAGGCAATAACACCTGTGTGGTGATAGATCCGACAACTAGAGAATCCCGAAAGTCATGGGCGCCTGAGAACTGCAGGGCAGAGAGACCATACATATGCAGAAAACAAAAAGGTATTTGTAAAATTTCATACAAGTATGAGAGAAAGGCCCGTAATCCATATGCGGTGTTATAAAAATCATTCTATTTGTCTGTTTTGTCCGATAAAGATTTAGAAAATTCGCCCAGATAATAAGATTTGGCCAATTAGATGGCGGCTCATTTCTTCATCAGTTGAAAGGAATGTTCAGCAACTTTTTGGTGTTATTGATTGCAATGCATTGATATGTTTCCCGTTTTTTCTTTTACAAAGTGTATTATTATTGGCGTCACTCATTATTTCCTACGTTTTCATAATTTTTTTTAGCTCACTGTGCGTCTGGTTGGTTACAGCACAATGGTACATGCTACCAATTTGATGCGAATATAAAGTTGTCTTGGTATGACGCCGACACCTACTGCAAGTCCCAGGGCGCTGAACTAATATCTGTACAAAGGTAAAACACCACTGACAGCGTCGAACACAAAGCGTTCATGAGGTCGGCACACCGTTATCCACATTAGTTCGAAAATTGGACACATATCAACTGAAAAAATATATTTTTTAAAAAATCGCCAGTTTCAAAGTGTAAAATATAATCCAATGTTAAAGCACCTGGTTTTCAATAAAAACCAATTATTAAAAAGCAAAGCATATTGTATTTCTTTTAATCCATCTTAGATATTTTGTGGTCTGTCACTGGTGTTGAAGATCTCGGGCGTATTTCTCAACTATTGCCTGC